ATCACGCTGAATTTTTCTATTAAATCACGCGTCACGGTGAATTCTTTTTACCAATCACGCGTCACAAAAAAAGGAGTAAGTACATCGCTAATTTTACTTTCTCGACCCTAACAGCGTCCATAAAAGGAGATTCAACCACAAAAATGTATCTGCAAATATTCCAAACATTTTCTCCCGAAAATAAAACTGGTGACCTGTACGGGAGACCGGGAGACTCGGTCTGTATTTATGAGACTCCTGGATAATCTTGTAGAGTTTTCACCGTCTGTGAACAGGCTCCCGACGACCGCGAAAAAGATAAAATAGGGCGAGCAAAGCAAGCCTGGCGTGGTGAGATTTATCCCTCTTCAGACGACTCTCGGCTATCTCCGCCTGTCTGTCTTTTGCCTTCCCCTAGAACACAATCGGGAGCCTGTTCACAGGCTAAGTGGGTAGAGATCTTGGACCGAATTGAGAAGAAGACTACACCACCTTTGCCATGCTTTATTATACAGGCAATATTTGTGCCAAAGCTTTACCCCTGTAAATCCTCTTCTGTGCGGCAACGTTTTTATGTCTGTGGATGACATAACGCGGCTTTTGAGGTAGGTCTTTATGACGACCTTCATGAAGTGGTACATAAACGTTTTTCTTGTGTAGTCTCTCATTGTTTACACAGCTGTCTTCTCGAGCGGCATAAAATGACACTAAACTCTGACGTCTGTTATCGTTTCAACCCTTTTGGACGACATTCTTTCAGACCTTTCATACGATAGCCGGATTCGGGTATGGTCTGATGGACTGCTGAAAATGATCGGTCAACAAAATGGACAAAAATAACACTGAAGCTCATGGTCCTTGTGCAAAGTTTAACTTTTTTCAAATGACTTATTCCTATTGTGTCACAATTGTTTGGACCTATAGTACAGTGGAGATCCACCAAGATCAAAGACGTTAGAGGTCAAGAAAAAGACGAAAAACACCAGAAATCTGCCACGATTAATTTATCTTCTTTAAGACTCTATATATTATTTACTTTTAATGAATGGTATCCTTCTTGTTCAAAGAACGTTCACTTATCATGGAAATCTAACTGGTAAATCACGCTTCACGGGCTTGTAAAATAGCAAATCACGCATCACGTTATGATGTCCTGTCCCGCGTTACACGGCTAATTTGGTCTCAATCATGCATCACGCTGCTAATCATGCGTCATGTAAAAACCCTTTGCCCCCCTCTGGGATTGAGGTTAAAAAATGCACCTTTGCTGAAACTAGGACAACGAGAGATGCCCAGAAAATTCTTTCTCTACGCAGTTGTTAAGTTATTGCTTGTTTGTTGTTGCACTCTTGTTTCTTTAGACTAAGATTTTGTAAAAGCAGAACAAATAATTTGCATACCGTCATGTGTACTAAAGATTGCAAAGGAGGTTCTTTTTTCCAAATACTGTGGTGGAACACAACAAAGTGACCTGGAACTGCAGATTAGCGTTATCGACTTGTGCAAGGGAAAACAAAAAATGTGACAGCCTAGCAGTCTCAAGTTTTATTTTTGGGATTGCCTTTCCTCTTCAAGAACTAGGCTATCTTGAGACTAGTACTAATGTCTAATTAAATATAACATACTGTTGTTTACTTATAATAGATAACAATGCAACATTGTCGCAATTTTCTTTTTTTTCTTTTTTGAAAACTGATCTAGCATTCTGTTATTTACTTATTACAGATAATCCTTGAGCACTTTTGGAATGTTTGCTCTTAATTAGAAAACTAAATCACCAACAAGGGATTCAACCTGCTTACAGCCAACAGCTCCATCAATTTTTCTTGAGAAGGCGATTGAAGCAACTTGCTTTCACCATGAATACCAAGGGCTCGTCCTTCTAGCCATGATTACAAGGATGTCCCTTGTTTACATACATTTCCATGATAATAAGGTTTTTAGTTCACAGGTTACTGATCCTCATTGCTTTAGTCTTTTTCTTCCTGCACCAAACATTCACGCTCTTCATTGGTCATAGGCTGCTTTGGAAAAATTGTTCTATATAACGGAAAACAGCAAGAGATTTGATTTCTTTCACACTCGTCTGTTAGAAATGCCTCTGATTGTTCAGTGCTATCCATCAATTGTTTCATGTGACTGTCTTTGGCTTCTTGTAAAGTCTTTATCATGTCTTTCGAAGAAAGAGGTTTTCTTTTCTTCTCTTGCAGTCTTTCAAGTTCCTTTTCTGCAAAAAAAAAAAAGAGAGAGAAAATACATTTAATCTCTATTTCAAGGTTGTAAAAATAACCATGTTACTACAAGTATAAAGATAGAACATAGTTTTTATAGCTAACTTTCAACGACTCCAGGACAACTCTGAAACAGGCAGCAGGCACAAGTTGTATCTTCAAAAATTTTAGCATATTTTTTTCCTTTTTTCTCCCACATTAAAATGCATCTTGCGGGTCTGAGCTTAACAGAAATTTAAGCTTATATTTTGAAGGCCTTTGAACTCACCTAAACGGGAAATATACGGCTGATTTCCCACAGAAATCTTTTCTTCATCCATGCAGTTGTTGTATATCGAATCCTTGTTGTCCATTTCGTCAAATGTTACCCATCCAATTTGATTTGAAAGCGTCGGTAGAGAGTTTTCTGTGCTTGATGGCGACCGAGCTTCAAAGTTCACATCGTCCGCCATCTTGGTTTTAGCGAAATGGCAAGCGCGGCTCCCAAGCTCATTGAACGGTTACTTAGCTGTTTGGATTTGAGGAGAAAAGGAAAGAAAAGCAAAGAGAATGTGGATTGCTTTCGATCTTTGACATTTTGTTCAATTTGACGAAATGAGGCTTAAAGAGCTAGAGGGATACCTTCAGCAAGTCGATGTTTTCGGAAAACCAAAAGTCGATCTTGAACAATATCCTACGACACCTCATATTGCAGCTCATATGCTGTACACCATTGACAAAACTTTTGGTGACGTTGAAGGCAAACTTGTTGGAGATTTGGGTTGTGGATGCGGTGTTTTAAGCATTGGTTCATGTATGCTTGAAAGTGCTATGACTATCGGATTCGATGTGGACAGTGACGCTTTGGAAATCGCATCTAGGAACTGCGCTGAGTTTGAGATCACCTCATGTGAACTTGTTCAATGTGATGTGGAACAGATTACTTTGTACGACAGATGGACTAAAGCGTTTGACACGATTATTATGAATCCTCCATTTGGGACAAAGAACAACAAAGGTAACTGATAAGAATAATGAATTGTAATGTTTCCAGCTGAAAGTAACATATTTTAAGAGATATGTCCAGGGGTTGTTGGAAGACACAGATCATCTGACGACCCTCTGATCCCCTACCTTAGTATACTTTTCCAGTCAGCGGTCGCCACAGTTAGTTAACTGTTATTTGAAAGTCAAGCCCAGTCACATTTTGTTGTCAATTAACCAGTTACCATTTGGTTTTTTATGTAAAATCCATGAGTTATGGAATTTGATTTTCTTTGGAAGACTCCAGTTACAGTGGCAGATCCAGACCTTGAGCTATTGGGGGGAGGGGGTTGCTTGCCCTGCCGGTTTTCCTTCCTTCTGCGATTTATTTTACCCAAAATAAGGGGGGCCTGGGGCCCCCAGGCCCCTCCCCTAGATCCGCCACTGATGTACATTCTACCTCTTGTATGCCTACCAACTTTTTATGAATCACAGGCATGAGAAGATTTTTATCCTATAGAGTACTTTCATTTTTTGGAAAAGGCTCTTAAGTCTTGACGATACATGAAAATTCCAAGGATGTTCTGAAGATTTCAGAACACGTCTCAAACATTTTTCAGGCCCTATGCCAGGATGCTTTTTGTCAAACATTATGTGGAGGCAGCATGGCCCAGTGGTTAGGTGCGGGACTTGAAATCCGGAGGTAATGGATTCAAAACCTGCTCTGACCACTTAGCTGGAGTTGTTTCTCGGTAGACCCTAGTTGGACTAATACAGATAACTTATGAACACACGAAAAATGCCTGAACCCACAGGCTAAATTAGAGGGGATTGGGATGAGACACAGGCTTGGCATTCGAAACACCCCCTTTTTATCCATGCTGCTCTTTTTCTTTGGTGTTCACAGATATTCACTCATCTAACCCCAAGAAAAAGGACGAGCAGACCAGCAGTCTTATGTCCACTGCGCTATAAACAGTAATAATATTACTACATAGCATTTGCAATTTAATAAAATATTTATTAGTTTGTCCTTTCCTCTTTTAGGTATTGACCTGATGTTTCTACAAAAGGCCATAATTATGTCGAACACGGCTGTATATTCCCTTCACAAGACTGCGACAAGAGAACACATAAAGAAAAAGGCCTCTGAATGGGGAGTGAAGCTGGATATATTAGCTGAACTGAGATTTGATTTAGCTGCAAGCTACAAGTTTCATCGCAAAAGGACGGTTGATATTGAGGTAGACTTCATAAGAATAGACTGTTCAACAAAATTATGATTAACGCAAATTGAATTTTATGAGAAAATCTGACAAGACCACTGTGTGAAAATCCAGCCTTTTGTTTTGAAGAGTTTCAGTTGACTAGCTACTTCCTCCATTTTGCTGGCCATTTTCAAATAAATGAAGCTCAATACAACCTTATAAATGAATACTTTTCTAAATTTTTGAGACTGAAAGATGTCTTTGTGTGTTTATTCAATGTTTTCTGCTTACAAATCAACTATCTTTTTCTTAAAGTATTCCACAGCTTTTTTGATGCATAGTTTGGTAAGGAAACAATTCAGTTATTTATTGTCATTCAGTTATGAAAACTGTCACGGTATTGTCCCACGAATCTCTTATAATGGTTATGGTGGAGGAAAAGAAGTGAAAGACAATCTCTGGGTAACTGTGCTTGCAGTAGGAGTTAAATTGGGAACAAATCCTGGAAGAAAGAAATGCTGTGTAGAACATTTTCACATTGAGAATTTGCCATGTTGAAAGTTGAGCAAAAATGCATCTTATTAGGTGGAGGCGCGGTGGCCTCATTGTTAGTGCGATTGACTCCGGACCAAGCAGTCTGGGTTTGAACCCTGGCCGGGGATATTGTGTTGTGTTCTTGGGCAAGACACTTTACTCTCACATTGTCTCTCTCCACCCAGGTGTATAAATGGGTACCAGGGCACTTAATGCCGGGGGTAACCCTGCGATGGACAAGCATCCCATCCTGGGGGGTGTAGAAACACTCCTAGTCGCTTCATGGCGTAGAAACTGGGATAAGCTCCGTCACTTGGCTCATATGCAGCCTTTTTTACTGGGTGGAAAACTAGTCCACAATGTAAAGGGGAATTATGAAGTCAATGTGTCCCTGATTGGTCCGAATTTTGCTCACAAATCAGTTTCGGCAAATTGCTTTTGCAAAACACTGCACAAAAGAAATAGACTGAAGGCAGTTTTCTGTTAAGTAGAAATCTTTTTTTCTTCATGTCTGGCGGACAATTTCAGTTTAACTTTTTGTGGGAGGCGCGGGGCCTCATGGTTAGTGCGCTCGTCCCTGAATCGAGCTGTCCGGGTTCGAGCCCTGGCCGGGGACACTGTGTTGGGCAAGACACTTAGCTCTCACAGTGCCTCTCTCCACCCAGGTATATAAACGGGTACCGGCGAATTGTTGGGGTAACCTAACAAATTGCGGAGGAGTGACCTGCGATGGACTAGCATTCCGTATAGGGGGAGTAGAAATACTCCCAGCCGCTTCATGCTACAAGAACCGGGATAAGCTCCGGCAGCTATGAGCCAGTCGGCCCCAAGGCTTCACTTTTTTTCACGAACTTAACAACGAATTCAAAATAAATTGATTTCTTCAATTGGGGTTTGCGCATTTAACGAGAATAGATCGCGGACACATTTATTAGCAAAGCTGTAAATTAAAGAATCTTTATAATGAAAACTTTATTGAAAAAGCTCTCTTAAGTCCGTTTTGGGGAACACTGGTCTGCGGCTCAGGCCATAAACTCTCAAAAAAGAAAAAGAACTTGTTGACGAATATTTCATATAAAAACCTTGCGCTAGTTCTAAACATGTAGCTCAATCGAATGGTGAATTCCATGTGGACTTATGATTCCGCGTGGAACAGTTAGCCCCTTTGTTCCTTGCCAGTTGACAGAAGATTTTGTTGATCAAGTTAGATGTAAGGGATTTATATTAAGCTCAAAAAGGCGCAAAACAGGTTTCTTGTAATAATAGAAAAGTAAATTGCAAGGACTCTCGTCAATTTGTCCGAAATGAGATAAAAAGTGTCCGAAAATTAAACGTCCAAAATTTTTTGTTAGTAATGTAGCTGTAGTCTGTCCAATAAGAGCGCGCTCAAACCACGCAGTGAACCAACACAAATTGAAGATGAAACGTTGGAACCGATGGCGGGGCGAGGGAAAACAGAGTCCCAAACGATGCGTTTTGATACGATTGCATAGCAGATTGACCGAGAGAAATGCTCTTTCTCTTCTAAGATTGGTCTAAAACAAATCTAAAAAAAAAAAAAAAGAAAAAAAAAAGAAAGAAAAAGAAAGCAGACAAAGAGAAAAAAATACAGAAACAAACTCAGAGTGAATCGGTCGTGAGAAAAGGGTTACGTGCTTTTATTACAGGTCTGTGAACTGGAAGTCATTAGAAGACACTGTAAAGTCGTATGTCTTCAGTTTATAGTTGTTGCGGTGTTCGTGTTTCAGAAAAGCGACAAATTTCACCTGATAATCGTGATTTAGTTGTTTGAATACGTGTACTGCTGAGTCACAACCGATATCAGTTTCAAGTGAGGTCCACTTAGAGGTCAACGGAAGGAAAACAACTTTAACTCCCTCTAGTCACGTTCACTTTTCGTTCGTTTCCTTTATAGCTAAAACTGACAAACACCTGCAGGGACATTTCCTTGCAGGATAAGTACACACTGATAACGACATACCGCGTGTTTTCCTCTCGAGAGCCTTGAGATTGGCTTATTATTAGGCAATAACTTGCAACAATGAGATAAAAACGACCCCCAACGATTGCGTGATGAAACGACTTGGTAGCACTGAAACGATTCGGCGGTATCTTTTAAACATTCCCCCACAACGTCAATATTCAAAGCGGTTGGTTTGTTTGAAACACTTCATTGCTTTTACAGTACAGCCGCAAACGGTTTTGTTTAACAGAGTATTTTTAATTGTGATCATGTACTACAAATGGTCAGGTATTGAACTTAAAAAAAAAAATCTTGGGCGGAAACCGAAAATTGGCACGTAATAAACTTGTTAAAAGTGGTTGCGCATCTTGAAAACTCTAGCCTTAATTTTTCGAGTTCGTCGTTTGTAATCCGTGTTAGTCTTCTCCATCCTTGTTCTTTTATGGTTTAATATTATCTCTTTGGTGTTTTTCTATTTTGGTAAACTACTATTTTCAGGTTTCCTTTAAGGAGCTCTGAGCTCCTTTAAATCTGTGTTTTGGCTCTCTTCCCGTTGTGATGCAATGTGGCGTTTTCATCAATCTTAAAATTTTGTTTGTCTCGAAACAACGATAAAAGGCGAAAATGAAATTCAGTGATGAATACAGTACAATCGTCGAATATTTGCAATTGAAGATGATGACATAGGAATGTCGAAACATGTTTTGTAAATTGAAAAATGTTGTTTCCTTTTTTGGGCAAAATGCTGAGATTATGTGTACATTATTCATCGTGGTGTAAGATAGAATAGATGAATTTTTCACTCGTTTGTCTCACGATGGAGTCACTTTGAGATGTAGATCCCGACGTTTCGACTGCTATACTGCTAGTCTTCCTCAGGCGATGAGGTCAATTGTTGCGTGAGACTGTTGACAGTGAGTCGAAACGTAGCGATCTACATCTCAAAGTGACTCCATCGTGAGACAAACAAGTGAAAAATTCATCTATTTTATTCTGAGATTAGCTAGGATACTTTTTGACAAATCAGGTTTTGCAAAGATCTCCCATCAGAGATCTTTTGGTGTCTAGTTCTGAAAACACGACATCCAAATCAACGTGAAGTTTGATTTTAGTGGTAAATTTTCTATCAGTCTTTCTGTCACCTTATTTTGTCCTTCAGTTTTGACTGTCGAACTGTACAAAACAAGCAGTGAAAAACCGTGAATGTTTTTTTGCAAGAAAAATTTCTGAAACTCGATTGACGTCTAATCCCAGATCAGCCATAATAGGCTTTTGGACAGCCACTGACCCCAGCTGTAAAAACAGGAAACCTTAAATTGTGTTAACTCAGAAATATCTCAATTTGGCAGGAATTAATAGAAGGTTTTTTTT